TCTAGTTTTAAAGTGCTATTTAAAAAGGAAACAAAAGCAAACACTGCAGTAAAGAAATTCATAGATAAAAATAATCCTTGGACAACTGTTTGAGAGGTATTTAAAGGACAATATCAACTTGCAAGCCACAGCTTCAGAAACTGCCTTCTGCAACAACTAAACACTTCAGATTATTAGAACTGGATCAATTTAGCAAAACAAACCAACCCCCTTCCTGTTGTTGACTTTGTGTGCATTTTGCGGCCTTTTTCTCTCTATAATAGACTAAGGCCCTTGAAAATACCAGCAAGGGCACCCCCAAATAATCCTACTCTACTAAAAAAGCAGGGTGCTTAAAAAAAAAAAAAAAAACTTTCTGTCCAGACCGGGGCCCCTCCAGGTTCCCACGGAGACCAGCAGCACGCTTTGCTCTCCGCACACAAGCGGGAGGCCTGCTGCCTTTCCTCTCCCCCCGTTTTCCATTTTACATTGAATCCGGCGGCCGAAGAGGTAGACAGAAAACACGGAGGGGCTTTGCAAGGTCCCACATGAGTACCGCGGCGAACCCACTCCTGCTGTTAGCAGGAGCCGCCGTACCAGGGCTTCACCCACGGCTCCTCACACCTCCCTTCCCCTCTACCGCCCAAACCCTGCAGCCACCGGGCGAGCAGCAGGCCGAGCAGCGCTCCCCCCGGCCGCCCGCCCCGCCCGCAGGGGCCGCTTACCTCGGGGCGGCCGCCGCGGCGCCCTCCGGCGGGCTGCGGGCTGCGGGCAGCGCCACGCCTCGGCCGCGCCTTATGGCGGGGGCGGGGCGCCCCGTGGGACCGCCGTAGGGGCGCTCGGGCGGCGGGCGGGCGCCTGAGGAGATGGCGGCGGGCGCCTACCTGCGCGCGGCGTGGCTGCCGCCGTGCATCCGCCCGCTGGCAGAATGTTAAATAAACCCCAGTGTTGAGAAAGGTGCCGGCGACGGGGCCGGGCACGGTGCTTTGACATCTCAGCGTGTCTCAGATCGGCCTTTATCTAATTTCCACACCGTACACCAAACCTGAAGGAAACCTGTTGGAAGATGAGCGCAGCCGGAGGTCTGTGCGCTCCCACAGTTACTGGTAGCGCGGCTGCTCGTGCAGGATTCCAGTGGAGCTGACACAGTCCCCGAAAACTTCACGTCGCTCCACGTTGGTGCTCCTTTCAGTCCTAAGTGCGCACCAGTGAAAGCTCGTGTGAAAGCTTTTTATTGAAATGGTTTCATTAATCTCTTTGCATATATTTAAGTGTGGTGGGTTTGCGTTTTAATAATACGCTGCTTTTGTGCTTTTAAACATTCAAGGTGCCGTGCAAGAATTGTAAACTGTGAAGTAACTACTATGGGAAAGATTAAGTAAAGCATTGGAGGCGGATGATTTTGACAATAAAGAGGGTGTATGTGGTGAGTGTTTAATATTTATTGTGTTTGATATTGCAAAGTACTATTTATTGTTTTCAGATTTAATGCTAAAAGCAAAACCTGGAGAGCAAGCTCTGCTGTATTATGCACTCACAGGTACACCTGTGACAAAGGCTTTCTGTAATCATTACTTGATGTATATAACACCATTTTAGTAATGGCATGCCATTTTATTTAAAGCTCGTGTGTCAGCTGTGCCTACCTCGCAAATATTTTTTTGCAATTAAATGATTTTCCAAAGAACCATGTACATTTCAGCTCTTTACAAAGCATTTAAATTGTGCTCTTGGAATATGTATCCTTGAAATTATCTAAGTTTATGTCTTTTTTTTTTTTTTTTTTTTTTTCCCCTCATTATAAAAGCATATGGATTGAAGGAATATTCTGAATGAATGAAGAACAAATACAGTACTGTTGAATAATCTTGTGGGGTAGATTAATCTATAGCCTCAATTTCTCTCAGGGTGGGTTGCTGTGGCAACCGCCCCAGCTCACTTTAAAATAATTTTGTAAAGCTCACTTCAAGCACTGCACCCAGCGTGGGCCAAGTTTAAAAGCAGCCAGACATGGGAAGAAGTGTTATACTGTGTTGCTCTCACAAGATAGGGAGGTGGTGGAGGAGAGCGAGGCGTGGAGTGGGGGTGAGCAGAACTTTAAACAGAAAATAGAAACCAAGCCTCCCTGGGGTTAAGACGCAAAGGAGATGGATCATTTCATAGTAACCTCACCGCTTTTCAGTTTAAACGTCATTAAAAGATTTTAGCCGGCAATCTCATTTCTCCTAAGGGAAAGATATGTTTGGTATCCACAGAAGAACAAAAATGGACTTTGATAATCATCTTCAAAGGGATGTTTTCTAAGCCCACCTTGACATAATCACATTTGTAAGGGGAAGAGATACTTGGACGCACTTCATTCTTTGATAAAACTTTAGAGGTCTGATTTTTATAATTACTGCATTTTGACTGATGTGTCATTGCTTAAAACACTATGCTTCAGGTGCATCGTTGAGGAAAAAAAAAATCTCAGCAGACCTACATATGACCTGTTAACAGGAAAAAAAAAA